TTTTTTTAGCAGTTTCTTCATGTTGGCCAGGCTGGTCTCCAACTCATGACCTCAAGTGATTTGCCCACCTCGGCCTCCCAAGATGCTGGGATTACAGGCGTGAGCCACTGTGCCTGGCCTGTTGTTCAACTTTAAATAAATAAGAGGTTCAACAATAAAATAAATTGGTAAGTTCCCCCATGTACTTCAGATCTAATCTTTAGTTCTCCAGTGTTTCCACTGAGGATTTTTCCTGTGAAATGCTGGAGTCACTTCCTTTGTCCCCAGTGATCTTTGTAATTTCAAGCACCAGGCTTTGATTTTCTATTCCATTGCTTTGATGGAGTTACTTCCACTAGGGGGAGCTCCTTACTTTGCTATATAGTCAATTTCTTTTTAGGAGACAAAAGAATGGAGACTTCCTCAGACAAAATGTCAAAACAATGGTAGGAAGTAGAAACTAAAAACATCTCCTGGGGCTTGACTAGGTCTCAGCACTAGCTTGCTCCTCAAATGCCATTTCACTTGTCATATTGCGTTTTGGTATAATTCTGGCCCATGTGTCAAGATTTTCCCCTACTCAATCTACTTCATTCATTCCATTTACAAATACATATTGAGTGCGTACTTTGTGTCAGGTATTGCTGTAGATGCTGGGGCTTCATCTGTGAATAAAACAGACCAAGTCCCTGACTTTATGGAGCTTATATTCACATATGGGCAGCGGACAATAAGTGAGATGAATAAAGAAAATATACAGTCTATTAGATAGGGATAAATATAGAAGTAAAAAGCAATCCGGCATCTTGTAGGCTAGTGTAAGAATTTTGAGTGTGATGGGAAGCACTGGGAAATTTTGAGTAGGGGAGTGATGTGATCTGACTTATATTTTATAAGGATTGCTGTGATTGCTTTGTGGAAAGTAAATTTAAGGGGGCAAGCTTGGGTCAGGGGAGGACAGTGGACTTGGGGAGAAGTTGTTGAATTTTGGATACATTTTGAAGGTACAGCCAACTGGATTTGCTAACAGATCAGATGTAGGATGTAAGAGGAATCAAGGAAAGCAGGGTCACCATATGGCATAACACTAATAGCAGTGACAAAAAAGTGTCTAGTGCCCCCTGGAGTTCTGTAATATAGCATCTCTGTCCAAGATGATGCCAAGGCTTTTGGCCTGAATGGTCGGAAAGATTGAGTTGCCACTAACTGTAATGGTGAAGACTGTCAGATGAACAGGGTTGGGAGTGTGTATTGGAAGCTCAATTTTGGATATGTTTAATTTGAGCTGCCAATTAGACATCTAAGTGAGGGTGTTGCATAAGCTGTGGGATGTATGAGCCTGGCCTTCAGGGGAGTGGCCCGGGCCAGAGAGAAAAATTTTTGAGTCCTAGACATCTACATAGTATTTAAGGTATGATACAGACGAAATCACCAAGGAGTGAGAAGAGTTAAAGAGAAGGAGACCGAGGACCAAGCCCTGAGACATCTCAACATTTAGAGTTTAGGAACGTAAAGAGGAACAAACAATGGAGGCTAAGAAAGACTGGCCAGAAGGTAGAAGGCAAACCAGAAGACAATGGTATCCTGGAAGCCAAGTGAAGAAGGTACTTCAAGGAAGAGAGAATGATCAACTGTGAAAAATACTTCTGGTTGGCCAAGTAAGATTAGGTCTGGGAATTTTTGGTAGAATTTAACAACATAGAGGTCACTAGTAGCCTTGATAAAAGCTGTTTCAGTGGACAAAAGCTTGATTAGAATGGTTCAAAAGGGAAAGAGAAGAGAAAAATTGTAGACAGGGAGTATAGACAAATCTTTTGAAGATTTTTGTTTTAAAGGTGAGCAGAGAAATGAGTCAGTAACTCAAATGGTATGTGGGGCCAAGAGAGGGTGTTTTGAGTGGGAGAAATAATTGCAGATTTGCTCCAGGAGTACTTAGCGAGAGTTGAGTTCACTTGTACTTATTCACCTGCATTTCTTGGGGATAGCACCCAGTAATCCTCGGGGAAGGTAGCAATCACAGGACGGGATGTTGCCAATAGGTTTGAGTGGAATGAACTCTAAGGGGAACCCATGGATGCCCTTTAATACAACTGAATTCAAAACCTCTGCAGTTAACAGAGCAGAGAGTATCTTCATGTATGGAAAAATTGGGGCTGTGAGGTCCAGCTATCCCTCTCACCCACATGGTGATTCCAGCCTCCTTTGCCAACCTTGAAAGATCTGGCCTCAAGTTACACTAAAGAGAGTCTGAGGGTCTCCTTCCAGAAACATTATCTATTGTATGGAAGGGAGGGGAAAAGAAGTTCTTACAGGTGCTGTGAAGCTGACTAAAACCCCAGGGAGCGTTTCAACTAAGTGAGAAACTTGACATAAAGATTCTGGCCACAGATTCACTGGTCATTTCCCTGTTCCTTGGTGAGAAGTGGCCTCAGCAGTAGAAGACAGTATAGTGCTGGGCTTGCTTCTTAGCTTTGTACTTTAGTAGTGGTGGCTTTGGAGACACATACAAGTTTTACTGGTCTCCATGTAGCGTTTTGGTTTGAATTTTTTAAAATTATTTTTATGTTTTTGAGATACAGTGTCGCTTTGTCACCCAGGCTGGAATGCAGTGGTGTGATCTTGGCTCGCTGCAACCTCCCCCTCCTGGGTTCAAGCAGTTCTCCTGCCTCAGCTTCCCGAGTAGCTGGGACTACAGGCACCTGCTACCACGCCTGGCTAAATTTTATATTTTTAGTAGAGACGGGATTTCACCATGTTGGCCAGGCTGGTCTCGAACTCCTGACCTCAAGTGACCTGCCTGCCTCAGCCTCCCAAAGTGCTGGGATTACAGGCATGAGCCACTGTGCCTGGCCTGAATTTCTTTCCTATTCTCATACCTTCAAGGCCCAGATCATATGTTACCTGCTCTACAGAGCCTTCTTTGAGCTCCCTCTGGCAAAAGTCATCATTTCCTCTCTGCATCTATAGTATTTTTTTCTCTTGCTTTCTCTTAGCACATATCACATTGTGTTATGGTTGTGTGGTTATAAACTGATGAGGCAGTAGAGTATAATGATGAGAGCATGGGTTCTGGAGCTAGGCTGCTTATATTCAAATGGTGGCTCTTGCAACTTCCTTAACCTTCCTGAGTCTCAGTTTCTTATCTGTCTCATCTCAGTTTAATAATAACAATATGACTGGGGTCTCATAATAGGGATTTTGTAAAGATTAACGAGACTAACAATGTGAAGTACTTAGAACAGTGCCCAGCTTACTATTAAGCACTTACTTAACAGTGAGTGCTTAGTGACCGTTCATTGTTTGTTTCTCTTCTTGTTGAGGAATAGGACCATATTTTTTCTCTTTGTACCACTAATGCTTAGCACTGGGCTTGGCAGAGAGTACTGGATATCTACTTAATCAATTTTTGTGTGAATAAACCAGGTTTCTAAATCAAACCAATTTCAGTTCTTATTTAATAGTTTCATAGGTATATAGCCCTTTTATGAGATCACTCATTCATTGCTGTGTGCCACTCTGTGTAGTAGTTAAGAATGAAGGTTCTGGAGCCTGATCACCTAGTTTGTATTGTTGCTTTGCCAGTTATTGGCTGGATGAGGTTAGGCATGATATTTAACATCTCAGTGCCTCAGCTCTCTCACCTGGAAAATGAGGAGAAATATAGGATGTTAAACATAGAGTTTCTGAACACTCAAAAGTTAACTATCAGTATTATTAATCTTATCAGCAATTAAACAACTTAATGAACACCTACAATGTTCCAGTAATTGTGCTAACAACGGGGATGCAGAGATGAAAAAGGCTTGGTCCCTGCTCTCAGAAATCCTATAAGCTAGTGAAGGAAATAAATGCGATCAAATCAGTATGTATGCAGCCTAGCAGAAGAAGGGATCAATTTAACAGGCGGGAACAGGAACAGGAACAGGAAAAGGCAGGGTAGTAAGACTTTAGAGAGGAGGGAAATCCTGAGCTTCGTATCTGTGAGTTGGCAGGCCTGGGATATTAATGTCAAGTACACATTGAAATCCCTTTTGTGGTTCATCAGAGATGAGTTTTATAACAGAGTTCTCCCATCAGATTTTCTTTTTTGTTTGTTTGTTTTTGTTTCACTGAAAGCATTTACCTGGAAGATGTTCTTAATAGGACCACTTAACAACCCTCCAGACAGTGATGATCCCTGTCCTCACTTGGCAGCACAGTGACTGTACTGCCGTGCGGCTCCTCGTTCTCACCTTGCCTTTTGAGAGATCTGGCTGGTTGTAGGAGCATGATTACTGGATTCAACATTGCATCCAGACTTGAGAGTTCTTTGTTCATATCTGGTTTGAAAAAGAATTTTTGAATGACTTCTGTCTGTCCTGTTTGCGTGGAAACAGAAACAGGGCTAATTGTTTCAGGGAACCCCAATCTGCTATTTAAATGAATATTATGATAAATGCATATAACCAAGACCAGTATTGATATTGCCTTCTAGTTTGGGGACCTAAGAAAAATTTTAATCCTTCTCAGAAAATATGGAATTATCGTGTGAATAAATCTTGTCTGATGCCTAAAAAAGAAAGCCTCACCCTGGCCTGGAGCGGAGGCTCACGCCTGTATTCCCAGCACTTTGGGAGGCCGAGGTGGGTGAATCACAAGGTCAGGAGTTCAAGACCAGCCTGGCCAAGATGGTGAAACCCCATCTCTACTAAAAATACAAAAAAAAATTAGCCGGGTGTGGTGGTGGGCACTTGTAATCCCAGCTACCCAGGAGGCTGAAGTAGAGAAGTGCTTGAACACGGGAGGCGGAGGTTGCAGTGAGCCGAGATCACGCCACTGCACTCCAGCCTGGGCGACAAAGCAAGACTCCATCTTTAAAAAAAAAAAAAAAAAAAAAAGCCTCACCCTGCATTTTGAATCCCAGAGAACCTGTTCTGGGCCAACAATGCACCACCAGCCTTTCCCAAGTGCACCAAACATAGTTTTGAATAGTTTTCCTTGGACAAAGCTCCTCTTTCCTTTTGAACTTCAGCCAGAGAGCCCTCACAGGCAGAAGACTAAATTTCAGATGCTTCTGTCTTGCCCTCTCCCT